GCCAAAATGCACCCTAAAGGACTCTTTTTCAAGATCTCTCCACTCTGCCGATTTCCCATTATCATTCTCACATTCACACACACACATGGGATCCCACAGACACACTCCACAGTTACAACACCTAAGAAAGAGACTAAATTCAATCAATCAAGCAAACAACAATTAATAACACAGTTATAACAGCCTGTCACTAATACCAAAATCACAAGACCAAAATCATCACTATAACAAGCCACAGCATAAGTCAAATGCCTGTAAAATCCCAAACTACTTCTAGAAGACACCCCCTGCGTCTTGTAGGACCCAAACCACAAGATGCCTCCTGCTTCTTGTGGGTGTATACCAAACGGATGCAAGCAGCTGGGTATACACCTTTACTTATGAGATTTCCTATCTCAATTTACATAAGGCTTCCAAACCTCGCATACACTTACCAACCCAATTTAGTCTTTATGTAAGATGCCCCCTGTCCAAAACAGGGCAAGGAGAGGTCTTTAAATAATATGGGAGGTTTCCAGCTTAAATAGATTTTAAAACTACCATGGAAAATTTTTAACTCGAACCTGCTGAGCAATCGTACCTCCCGATGCACCTCAGCCGGCTTCCAGTGGCATTGATTTATGGAACAGAACTTCACAACTCACAAAGAGTTATAAAGCAGGCATGTTTATTGTGGCACCGGGTGCAAGGGGGATCGCTCCACCTAACTTGCACACTGAGAGCTCAACAAGCTAGGTATTTATTACACGCAAACATATGTATTCATTAGATTTCACAAGCATAGGAGGAGATTATTACAATTAGTTCCAAGAACTCATTAATACCATTCCTCTCCCCTCTATGCCTGCTCACTGCCATCTGGTGTTCTTGGGCCGGGGTCTTCTGGATGAAGTAAGAGGTCTTCCTCACTATGCACTTTTCACCCTTGGCACAGTTTCCCCATCTGGAAACCTTAAGTCTTATAGAGACTAGTTGAAACAGGTTCTTACAGTTGCAGAGTGGCTCCAAGAGCAAGGCCATGGATCCTTAGAGGCCTTGTGAGAGCAAAGCAAGATATAGGCCTTACAGGTAACCAGATACCGGATGTGGGAGGAGAATGTGAAGGAAGCTGTGTAGAACTAACCAATACTGTTCTGACTAGTAGGCGTGGCTAAACACCACGCGGATATAAGCGAAGTGCGCCACTAATAAAGCAGAAGTTTGCTTATCACCCATATTGGGTTGGCGTGTCTTACTTCTCCTTGCCGCTTACAAATGGCACCCAAACAGGGACATGGACTACAGGGCCACGGCTAACGGGGACCCGGAATACAGGGCCCCGGCTAGCAGGGACCCGGAATAGAGGGCCCTGAGTATCAGGGACCCGGAACGGCGAGTGAGCAGCGCCGGCGGCAGCGGCCTGGGAGCGCGGGAAATGTGACTGCTGTGGCGGGACGGACCCGGGTGCTTGGACTAACCGAAAGGAGTCCGCCGCTGGGGCGAACCAGACACTGCTGCTTCGGGAGGCCGATCCGGAGACCGAGGTTACAGGACGATCCAGAAGAGGACGATCCGGAAAAGGCCGGCCATGAAAATGGACCGAGAGGTAGCCCCTGATTTATTACAGCGCTTTTTATAAAAGTGGGGAATTGAGCCTGAGACTCTAAAGCAGCTAGCAGGTCTAGTGGCTGTAGGGAAGGCTAAGGGATTTTTTATAGATCCTAATACAGTTTTTGAGGAGAGTGAGTGGCGAAAGTTTGGTGATGAACTATTTGACTCAATGCTTAATGATGATATTTGACTCAATGCTTAATGATGATAAAACGGCAAAGAAACTTGGTAAACCACGGAGAGAAGTAATAAACTGTACAAAAAGATACAAGGTGGAAAAGAAAACTGCCGCTGTAGCAACGGAGAAACTAGGAACAGACATCCCCGGTCTGTTGAAGCCAGGGGAGGATTACAACTCGTTTCCCCCAACTAGCGGGCCGCTCCCTGTGCTTGGAGCACAGGGTTTCCCCCCCCATTTCCTTTTCTCCCCCTCCTTCATCAGAAGGTGCAGTGGAGGAGGTGCAACCCCCTGCTCCCCCACCACCCCAGTTCCGAAAGTAGGGACTTTGAAAAGGACAGAGAAAGTATATTAGAAGGGATATGCATGATGAATGTCGAGGAAGCTGAAAGGAAGAGGGTGGTGCCTTGGCGCCAGATCGATTGGGGCGCTATTTTGAAGCACGCAGTAGAAAATAGAGATTATGCGCTAGCGGGAGATTTAAAGGAACTGCAAGCCTTTCCAACCCACTATGCCCTAGAGTGGAAATTTTTAACTCAGTTATGGAGGAGCCAGGTCTGCAGATGGCCACATATCGAACGAGAGACATCTGACAAGAAAGACATAGCTGCGAGCAACAGAGACCCTGAGTTCGGCCCAGGATCAGACCCTGAATCCCCTAAATCCGAGCCAGATTTATATCCTCTGCTTCCAGACTCTTGACTTTTTGTCTCCCGGGGCGGTCTGCTCAGACTCACTGGCCCTGGAGACACTCAGCTGCAACAATGCTTAATCAAAGATGCAATCATTACTGGTGAATTTTCTGCAATGGGCATCTCTGTATATCCTGTGTTTACTACACAGCAGGGGGCTAAAGAGTGGGAAGCTCTTGATCTCAAAATAGTTAAAGAGGCCTGACAAGCAGTGACCACGTATGGGTTAAAATCCTCTTATACTCAAGCTGTATATGTTATGATTTTTCTTGCAATTGACAGGGGGAGCCCATACAGTTTCTCTGTGATACCCATGTACTAGAAGTTGGTAAAAATAAGTATGTCCAGGTTTCTATCAACCTTTGGAGACCTCTGTAGATACTGCTGGCCACTTCTTCCAGCACAGGCTGGCCACCTGTGTCGGAATGACTGTGCATTTTGGTCAGTATAAAAGCCCAAGCCTCATGCGATGTGGGGGATGCAGAGCCTCTGCGGGGATGCCTGCTAAGGTTGAGCCTGCCACCTCGCACTGCAGTGATGCTTCTCGGAGCTGGTTTGCTATTAGTCTCCACAGGGTCCTTGTGCCACGGTCTGTATGTGGAACTGTAGCGGGAGTAATGATTGTCTGGATTTTGTGCTTCAAATACTGTAATTGTGCGGCGTGTGCTTGGGGGATCCCATATGCGTGTGCGTGTGCTGAGGGCAGACGGTGTTCTGTGTATTTTTCTTGTTGGGTTCATGTAAAAGCTTTCAATGGGTAGCTGTTTAACATTTTGGGCATGAAAGGGTTAATGTAAAGGTGCGGTTGCTAGCGGGTATTTATGGTTGCTGCTGAAGCAGGCAGGCCACTATAGCTGCTGCCCAGCAGGCAGGCTTTTGCAAGGATTAAAAAAAAAAAAAAAAAAAGGGGTGGGGGGGAGAGAGAGTAATGATGCTGCATTTAACCTGTCTAACCTGTCTACTTCTCAAGAACTGATAACCTGGGGGAGGGGGTATATTTGTGTCCTCCTGACTACAGGTCCATGGCGACTGCCTGCGAAGTTTGTGAAGCCTTGCCATGAGCTGGACAGACGAATGGAAAAAACTGATGCCTCAGCTACAGGAGCTGACTGTGAATACCCCAAGCAGAATGAGATAGAGGAAGAGAAAGAACAAATAACTGCAAAACATCACTTGGGGGCAACTGAAAAGTAACATCCTGAATATGTGTGCTTGTAAAGTAGCTATTGTTAGAGGTTGTGATTTTGTGTATAAAACCACCTGTATTTACTAGCTAGTTGCTAATAAGAAACTGCACCTTGTATTGTATAGATTTGTCACTTGTAAAAGAGATGTTAGAGTATGCAAATTTGCAGTAGCTGCTAGAAAATGCTAAGGCAAAAGCTAGAAAGATTTTAATACAATGGTAGTGTTATAAAGCAGGTAATGGAACAAATTAAGAGGGTGGGAGAATTCCACTGGTAAGAAATTTCTTTGGCTAGTCCCTGGCTACCATCAGCATCTTCAACATGCTGCTGCACCCTGTAATAGTTACTCTGTGTCCTGGGTTCAGCAGTAGCAGTCATTTTTTCTCCTTCTTGGTAGCTGGTGTAGTGCAGTGTTTTGACTTTCAGCTCAGGAACAGAGCTGATAACAAGGATGTTTTGGTTTGGCCAAGGACTTTGTGAGCCTCATGCTCTGCCAGGGAGGAGGGGAAGCCAGGAGGAAGCAGAGACAGGACACCTGACCCAAACTGACCAAAGAGGTATTCCATACCACAGCACGTCATGCCCAGGATGTAACTGGGAGTGAGCCGGAAGGGCTGGGAGACGGCAGGGTTGGAGGAGGTATCGGTCGGAGCTTGGTCGGGCTTGGGGGGCGAGTTATCGGTTCGCTGGTGCTGAGGTGTTGTATTCTCTTCCCTTGTTATTTCCTTTATCATTATTATCATTGGTGGTAGCAGTAGTGATTTGTGTTATACCTTGGTTACTAAACTGCTCTTATCTCAACCCGTGGGAGTTGCATTCTTTTCGATTCTCCCCTCTGTCCCTCCGAGAGCAGGGGGAGGGCAAGAAAGGGGGGGGGGGGAAGTGAGCGAACGAATTACCTGACTGGGTTTAAATCACGACACTCTGCTAATGTAAATGTGTGTGTGTTTTGCCATTGTAGCGACTTGTTACTGGATAAAACAAAAGGGGGGAAGATGTGGAGACAGTGTTCTCACGGGAGAATGCATAATTGGTACATAAACTTTGAATAGTCCTGAAAGATACAGCAAGGCCATGAGAGGGCCCAAGAAGCTTAAGCAAGCAAGATAAGAGGCTGGAATTCACCAAGTTAATGAGAACTGTGGACTGTTGGCAAGCTTTCAAGGTTGAGTTCTCACACCTGTGTTTAACCAGTTATATGCTAGTCACTGAGGGTCTTCAAGACATGTATCCAATCATAATATGCCAAATCACTGTAAGTGCTTCAGCTGGGGCCTTGGCTCAGTTAAACAAGCTAGGCTGCTGGCCATGGAAGAAAGTGAGGACCACTGGGTAGGCTGTTTCCCCACCTACTGGCAGCTGGCCATGGAAGAAAGTGAGGACCACTGGGTTGGAGAGGTTGGCCACCACTGTATCCACCAAGGAGATGTCAACCACCTTGTTACCCAGGACGTGGCTGCTGTTTTCATCCTGTTGGAGAAGAAGAGGAAGCGGTGGCAGTGCGGGAAGGGAGAGATTCCAGGAGAGAAGTGGGTGAGAGTTCCCAAGGAGGTCTCCTCCTCTTTCTCTATCAAGCTTCTAGCTCATCTTTGAAGCATCTTCTGCAAGCGAGCACCAGCACCCTGGTCTGGGTGGCATCCCTGCTGCCCTGTACCACTGGACATGGTCTGGCTGCTGATGTCCACCAGGAGCACCCTGTGCTCTGCCACCTCCTCCCTCCCCTTTGCCATCACAAACAGGCTGCTCGGCATGTCCACTGTGATACCATGGACCTCTCTGACCTCCTGCAAGGAGACACTCATCAGGAGGGAGGTTGGGAGGACACTGGTGGGCCGAGACCAGGAGGCAGGCTGGGAGGACACTGGTGAGCCGAGACCAGGAGGCAGGCTGCCTAGGACCCACCTCTCTTTGGGAAGCAAAGACCAGATTCCAAGGAGCCTGAGAGGGCTGGACCCTCAGGACAGTCACATGCACAATGGCCTTTCTGAAGGGCTGGTTCTTCCCTTCAAGCTCCACCTTGGTCAGCATCTTCTCCAGCTCCCCAGGTTTGTTGTCAGGGAAGTGGTGCAGTGAGGGATGCAGACCACACGGCATCATCAGCAGTGGGAATGGCATGAGCCAGGAACTCACTGCTGAAGCACCTGCTGCTCTGTGGCCCCTGTGGCCAGCGCTGCAGGCTGGGCAATGAGCATGTCCAAGGCAGTGAGCTGCTCCTCCACGTCCTGCTCCCAGATGGGCATGTCCTCTGGTGCGGCTGGTGGACACACAGAAGGGAATGCCATAAAATGCACAGGCAGAGCCAGCTTTCTCGTGCCCCCAACCAACTGGGCACAGCCCTGGTGGGAGCAGAAAGCAGAGGGCTTCAAGGTAGCCCCAAGCCCAGGGAGCTGATGGACACCTCAACCCAGAAGGCTTCTCCTGCTGCCCAGAGCTCCCACCAAGGCCATTGGGACCAGGCTGGCTAGGTGCCTAGCAGCACAGACAGGACCTTGGAGGCCTCTGCAAAGCCTACAGTTTCCCAGGATTTTAGGGGGCTTGAAAAACTCCATCCTTCAGGAGCCTGGGTATCCAGGCCTGCCTCTGGACTGCTTGAAGCAAACCTACATCCTCTTCCATCACTGTTCATCTGTGTCTTCACATCAAAGGACTGTCGTGGCTTAAGCCCAGCCAGTAACTCAGCACCACACAGCCACTCACTTTCCCATCTTCCTCCCTCCCTGCTCCAGGTGAGATGGGGAGGAGAATGGAAAGAATGTAACTCCCACGGGTTGAGATAAGAACAGTCCAGTAACTAAAGTATAATATGAAACCTCTACTGCTACCACCAGTAATAATAATGATAAAGGAAATAACAAGGGGAGAGAATACAACCGCTCACCACCCACCGATCGATACCCAGCCTGACCTGAGCAGCAATCTGAGCCTTCTCGTTAACTGCCCCCAGTTTATATAGTGGGCATGACGTGCTGTGGTAAGGAATACCCCTTTGGCTAGTTTGGGTCAGGGGTCTTTTTTCTACTTCCTCCCGGCTTCCCCTCCTCCCTGGCAGAGCATGAGACTCACAAAGTCCTTGATTGGAGTAAATATTTCTTAGCAACCACTAAAAACATCAGTGTTATCAGCGCTGTTCCCAGGCTGAAAGTCAAAAACCACAGCACTGCACCAGCTACTAAGAAGGAGAAAAAAAAAATGAGTGCTACCGCTGAACCGAGGACAGTATCCACCCCTTATTCCATACCATTCACATCATGCTCAGATCCCACATTTTTCAATATACCATCGCTTTTGTCTCATATATATATATACACACACACAGTGTTCTGATACAAGCAGTTCTCCAGATGTCTTTAGTGAGTTGGCTTTCCAGAGTTTATGATGTCAAGTCTTAACTTGGCAGCTTGTCGGGAATGGCAGCGTAGCATATCAAATCTGTGCCATGCTTGCTTTATTTCACCAGTGATGAAAAGTCAGTAGTACAATGAGTCTTATTATTTGTCACTTCCAAGGGTAAAACAACTATTGTTTCATAACTTGGGGGACACAGGGTGTTAAAAGGTTTTTAAATCTGCACTTGGTCATGATTATACATTTTGGATGCTTGGTAATTTTAAACTAGTGGTGGGTGCAAAATTATTTTGCTTATAAACTTAGAAGCTGAGTTAGTATGTGACAAGAGGCACAGAAGTCAGATTTTGTTCTATAACCAACAAGAAGTTGGTTTTGAGGCACTGGAACAGGCTGCCAGAAGTCGTAAATGCTCCATTCCTGGCAGTGTTCAAGGCCAGGTTGGACAGAGCCTTGAGCAACATGGTCTAGTGTGAGGAATCCCTGCCCATGTCAGGGGGGTTGGAACTAGATGATCTTAAGGTCCTTTCCAACCCTAACTATTCTATGAAGAAACTTCAAGGGTACTGCTGTTATATCTGAAGAGATATTTTTGGTTTTATACTATCAATTACATATTGATAAGGATGCCTATTTTGACTGTACCTGTACTTTAGAGTTGCCCCTTGATTATAAAGGCAAGAAATCTCTCCATTCCTGCACCAAATGCACTCTTATTTAAATCACATGTAAAAAGCCTACACATGCACACACGCGGACACAGTCACTGGGCACAGGCAAATCCTCTGGACTGACCTTAGCACAAGCACTGCATTTCTAGTTGTATCTTCTGAACCTAAACTACATATGATACATCAGTTTTCTATCCCAAGACATGCAGACTTTTGGTCTCTTCTGTTACTTGAAAATGAAACCATAAAGTGATTCTCCAGCTTCGTTCCCTCCCACCTGGCTACAATTGCTCCTAACCTCTGTGTGCCTCTGTTCCAAAGGAGAACCTCCACAGACCCTAGTTCTAATTTCTGGGTTTATTCTCTGGCCTCATGTGGTTAGTGAGATGAGTGGAAGTCAACAAGCAAGAACTAGCTGATTTTGTTGTTGTTTGCTTACAACTGGGTACAGTAGAAAAATCATGAGCTTAATAATCCTGTTTCCAGTTTTCCCTCTGGCTTGTGTTCAGAATGCTTTTCCTAACATGATCTTTAGAAGCCACAACATTCAGAGGAATTTCATTAAACTGAGTTAAACCATACTCCCTCAGTCAGTAACTTAACTTGAAATAAATACATGCCCTTTGATATAAGATGACTGTATGCTTCTAGATACCTTAACTCTAGATTTTTTAAGAGGGAAAATCAGTAACTTACTCTAGAGTGAGTATACTATTAATTCTGGTTTGTGACTTTTTCTTTTTTTTTAATTCCTACTTTTTCCCCTGACCATTTTAAAGATCCTGGTCTCAGGAGGTGGAAAATCCCAAACAGGAGTGATGATCCCTATACCACAGTATCCCTTATATTCAGCAGCCATACCTAGATGCTATCCAGGTGAACTACTATTTGGATGAAGAAATTTGTTGGGCTCTAGATGTGAATGAACTTCGCCATTCCTTGAAGGAAGCTAAGGCATACTGCCATCTGAAAGCCCTCTGCATCATCAGCCCTGGAAATCCCACAGGTCTGTAGCAATTTTGGTAAATGGATGGGTTTTAACAATATTTTGTTGTTTTTTTTTTTCCTTCTTCCATTCATTTGACATCACAGGCAAATTCTAAATACCTATGAAATATGTAAAATTGAATTCTAGAGGTCAGTGCTTTAAGTAGGACAGCATGTCTTACTTTTAGAAACTTATTTTCAGTGTCATAGAACTCCAGGGATTTGGGAAGACAGGAGAGAGCAGGTTCACTTCACTGGATCCCATTTGAAGCCACTGCTTCCAGTGAACTTTTGCAGGCTTGTGGAATCACTTGGCCAATTCTGATCTTTATCAAAGACCTTGTCTCCTCTTGCCACTGAAAGGCAATGACTAAACACTGAACTCAGTGACAACCATTGCTTCCCTCAGAATAATTTAGGGTTTTGAGTAGCTGAGGTTGATTAGTGAGAAACTAGCTCCCACATCATGCAAATATTTCAAATGATCAGTTATAGAGTACTCATAATAAGTTATTAATTACTATATCTCACACTTCCTTTGCTTAAGATGGACTAAGTTACCTTGAACCATAATTCCTCCAAAAATGTTCCATAATTTCACACTTAGTAAAGTGAATTATAAAATTCAATAGCACTTTTCTGAGAAAGGAGGATATCTCACTGAAAAGCTAATAGTCTAACTAGGTCTGGGCGAAAAGATTTATATATATATATATATATGCTCCACTAACTTTCTTCTTGCTTTAAAAATCAAACCATAGGACAGGTGCAAAACAAAAAGTTCAATGAAGATGTGATATACTTTTCTTGGGAAGAGGAACTTTTTCTTGTGGCTCAGGAAGTTGGGTCTGTTCAGCCTGGAGAAGAGAAAGCTGCGTGGAGACCTCATAGCAGCCTTCCAGGATCTGAAGGGGGCCTATAGGGATGCTGCAGAGGGACTCTTCATTAGAGACTGTAGTGATAGGACAAGGGGTAACGAGTTAAAACTTAAACAGGGGAAGTTTAGATTGGATATAAGAAGGAAATTCTTTCCTGTTAGGGTGGTGAGGCACTAGAATGGGTTGCCCAGGGAGGTTGTGAATGCTCCATCCCTGGCGGTGTTCAAGACCAGGTTGGACAAGGCCTTGGGTGATATGATTTAGCATAAGGTGCCCCTGCCCATGTCAGGGGGGTTGGAACTAGATAATCTTAAGGTCCTTTCCAACACTGACTATTCTATGATTCTATCAGCAAGGGGACACGAGCAAGGAGACACAAGGAGGAACTTTGCTGGAACTGACCTAAAAACCTATGATACTAAGACTACTTCAAATGAAAGAATCAGAAGGAAAATAAATTAAAAAATGGAATCATAGAATAGTTAGGGTTGGAAAGGACCTTAAGATCATCTAGTTCCAACCCCTCTGCCATGGGCAGGAACACCTCACACTAAACCATACCTCCCAAGGCTTTGTCCAACCTGGCCTTGAACACTGCCAGGGATGGAGCATTCACAACCTCCCTGGGCAACCCATTCCAGTGCCTCACCACCCTAACAGTAAAGAATTTCTTCCTTATATCCAATCTAAAAATACAACTAAAGGTTAAGTTACGCAAAGATGCTCACTGTTCTTCCAAAGGCTAAACTGTTAAGTATGGCCACATGAGAAAAAATGAATCATTACAGTAATTATTATTTAAAAAAACTTGTGACTTTTAATGGCTTTAAGTTTTAAGTATTACCAGTTTCTTCAGACCTGGCTCTCTAAAATGTCATCTTCTGACTATTCAGATTTACCAGGACAATGTGTACTCTGAAGGATGCCAGTTTCATTCTTTAAAATAGATTCTGTATGAGATGGAACCAGAGCATTATAACAATGTTGAGCTGGCCACTTTTCACTCTGCCTCTAAGGGATACATGGGTGAATAAGACTGCTTTAGGATTTTTTTATTTCACCTTCCTCATTAATCCGGTTGGACAGCCGTTCACGTTACTGACATGAAGGTAATCCACCATCTTTTATATGAGATTAAACTTACAGAGCAATGCAATGTTGGCCTTTTGCAGTGATAAGGACACTGTGCCAGACAAATACGTGGCAGAGGAAGCTACTAACTTCAGAGAGCTTGCAGCATCAACTACAAGCACTGTGTGAAAAAACACTAGTGTTTTAAAACATTATCCAAGTTCCCTTTCACACAATTCCTTGGTCAATAAAGAAAACAGGTTTGATCATTTGTACAAAACCCAAGGTACTCATACCTCTGTTGTCATTTTATTTGGATGCATGTAAGATGACAAGTTTCTGCAAGGAATTCTACTTTTAAGGATATGACTTTTAATGGTCTTATGCATTCAATACTACATGCAGTCAGGCCTTTCTAATGTTCTGTGTTATTACAAGTTTGTTAAATACTATCTTCACCTGATTAGAATTTATACAACCTGTAACCATTTGCATCGGGCAGAGCAGGTTATTCACTTTGCTGGCTTTGAAGCACTGCATATTCCACAGACCAAACAGCAGTAAAATAGCAAAAGCCAAGCCTCAACTCTGAAACAGGGTCCTTCTTATACAGGAAGAAGGTTTCCCAATGCTTGTCCAAACCCTGGCAGCACAGGCACTGTCTGCCACAGCCTGGGGCCTGTGCCTGACACCCTCCTGCGCTGTGTACTACTCACCGCTGGGATGAAAGCGGTCACCTGCCCCATCACAGGTCCTCATGGGCTGAGCTCAGCAGCGGCCGCTTCCAAGCAATTAAAGAAAAAGCACAATTAATTTGGTTCCACCAGGACAGAGTGCGTGTGCGTGTGGATCTGGGTCAGCCTGCCCAGCTCCTGTCAGGACGCGAGGGCTTAGGTTTCGTGCCTGTCTAGATGCACCCAAGCCCATTCCTAGGGCACCACAGAGATGGGGGACCCCAAACTTCTCACCCTCCCCGCCTCCCTTTCTTCCCTTCCAACGAGAGGCCTAGCACCCCCAGGGTACCCTCTCCGTCGCGCCCTGGCAGCTCTCGACCCACAGGCCGGGGCCTCCTGTGCCGCCCAGTCCCCTTACGGACACAGCCCCTCTCCAGGGGGCCAGGACGCCCGTTCCCACCACCCCGGAGGGTGTGTCCGATGGGGGAGGGGAGAGAGATCCCCGCTCTTACAAAAGCTTCCTGGGCGGAGACTACTGCGTTTGTCCGGTGGGGTGGTGGCTATGCCTTGGAGGAAGTCCCCTGGCAAGTGGTGTAGTACTGGCTTGGGTGGGGTGCGCGGCTGTGGTGTTCTCTTCCAAGAGACGAAGAATCAGCGTATCGCGCTGTTTTTCCACGATTTCGACCAGCAGGGTAGGACCGGAGGCGTTGGCAAGGGCCCCGGGGATGCTCTGATAGGTGCTGGCCCTCGCAGGTGGTGAAGTGGGCACCGTGGCGGTACTGATGGTGCCCGCACGCCTGCGCTTGCTTGTCCGGTGGGGTGAGCCTACGAGCCGGAGTAAGGCGGTCCGTAAGGAGCGATGAACGGTTCACCTTTCCCTGAGGGGTGGCTCGCGGGCCTCGGTTCGGTGGCGGGCGGGCTGAGGGCCTGCCGTTGCGGTGCACGCCGTGCTCCTGACAGCCTCGGGAGGGTTCCCGCGTCATTCAATCCGCATAAAACATTGTTAACTTTTTTTTTTCAATGCGTTCTAGCAGTGCTGTTACTTGGAAGCATGTAATGCATATGGTGGTAAGAGCCTATTCTGTTTTAAAGCCAAGGAAAATATCCGGGAAATGAAGAAGGAACTCGATTCGCTTTTGCGAACAGCTGAGAAGGCATTTACAGTAGAGCTGCTGAAGATGCCGATTGCTATCAGGAAAATGAAGAGAAAAGATTTGCTTAGTAAGTGTGTGTCCTCTGGTTTCAGCTGCGATGCAGTCAATGATCTTCCCAGTAATTGGAACAGTGCAATGTTTTGACTTTAGCCAGAAAACAGTGTTGATGGCCCAGAGGTGATTTGGTTACCACTGAGCAAGTACTCACAGAGCTAAGGCCTTGTCTGCCTCTCACCTGCAAGCAAGGAGGCTGGGGGGCATAAGGAGGAGGGGACTCTGGGAGCAGTGGTATTTATCTTCCGGAGTCACTGTGAGGTGTGGAGTCCTGCTGTCCTGGGGATGGCTGAGCAGTTGCCTGCAGTGGGAAGTGGTGAACCTGAAATCAGCCTGTCTGGGAGTGAGTGGGTAGCTGCTTTGGAGACAGAGATTAAGCCATTGTCTGCTTTGCCTGGGGTTAAACACACAGCTGTGGGTGTGGCCTTATATTTGTGAGGGATGCAGTCATAATTAAAGCATGATGCAACCCTGACTGATGTGAAAAAGCCTATAACTGTAGTGACTTTTTATATAGAATCTTGCTTTGCATGCTGTTAGCTAATTGGCAGTGGTATTGTACTGCGGAGGCTTGCTCAGTGCGTGCTCTTGGTCAAGTAGACTGACCTGTGTAACACAGGGTGTAGAATTAGTTGGTAACAGTGCGTGAAGTCCATAGCCTTATTTCATGTGTGCTTTTAAGTCATCTTATTTAAAGCCCTATGTGTTGGGGACAATAGATTATGGTCTGTGGTGAAACACGCAAAGATAGAAAAGTACTGTCTGTACACTTTGGCTCCTCTCTGGAGAGTCCTGCTTTTGTTGCTCCCTGGAAGGTCCAGCTTTGGTTCCTCCCTGGAAAGTTCTGCTTTAGAACTCCCTGGATAAGTCCCGACCCTTAGAGACCTTTCTAGATATTGCTGGCCCCTTCTTCTGACGTAGGCTGCCCCTTGTGTCAGAATGAGTGTGCATTTCTGTTAGTATAAAAGCCTGAACCTCATGCGATGCGGGGAGACAGTTTCATACCACCTAGGTCAATGTTGTTTCCGCAGGGGTGCCTGCTAAGGTTGAGCCTGCCACCTCGCACTGCAATGATGTTTCTCAGAGCTGGTTTCCTCATTGTCATTACATGGTCTTTGGGGTTGGTAAGATAACCAAGCATCAGAAGTATCTTTTACTGTATCTGTTAGTATCTCTATATTTTCCTATATTAATAAACTAGTTGCGAGTTCTCAGTTTTGTTTCTCTCACTTGGAATCCTCGAGCTCTGGAACACCTGAAGTGATGAGGAATAATTACAATTTTAGTATTTCCTGTGTGTATAAATGTGAGCACTTCTTTCCATCTGAATCTGTTGGTCCTAGACACAGAGATTTTGTCTTTCTGTTAAGTCTTTTACTACTGAGCCTTTGTTATCTAGTTTGTTTACCTGTAATGGCAAATGTATTTATGCAGCAGTTAAAGCTGTGGTGCATGGTTGGCATCAGATATATATTCTGGTAAGAATTGATGTGTTTAGAATCTGTCTTGCAGTTGGAGATTGCAGGGGCCTCATAAAGGTCCAGCGTAAAACTCTTGAACTTCAGTTTACTGTAAGCCTTTGCTGAGTATGTAGTTCAATGTCTGTCTTGAAAACTTCTGCCTTAAAAGCATTAACTTTCAGCTGTGCAGTGTATGGGGGATTTTCTTCTTGGAATTCAGGTTATATACTGTGTGACTATGCTTAGTGTTCTTTCAAAGATCAGACATATTGAAATGGCCTAAGATTTTCATTGTTGCTTTGTAGGGGTGACTGTCCCAAAAGACTTGAATCTTGTTCCAATGCAACATACCTGCTAGCTAAGTTTAGTTGTTTAAGCAACTGTAATCCTGAATTACTTGCTCGGCTTCATAGCATACAAGAAAAGAACCTGCAGAGAATAATTATGTAAGTAGCACTATATAAATAAGGTATACTTTCTTGAGTTACAGATTTGCGAGAAGGTGAGGAAGTGGCTCTTGCTGCTGCAGCGGTAAGTGGTGTTTTCAAATTTCATCACTTCTTACAGAATAGAAGTCTTCTTCCTGCTGTAAGCATTTTGGACTAATGTTTTTGTTTGGCTGTCTGTTTAAAGACAAGATGGTACAAGAAGGCTAGCCAGTTAGCCAGCCAGCCACAGTGCAATTATGAACATTACCTAAAGATTTAGGGTCATCTGCAGGCAGATATCTGGATGGTTCTGGAGGAAAAAAAAGAAGATCAAACCAAAACAAACAAAAAACCCCATGGAAAACTAACTGGTGTTTAGCCAATTCCGCTTCTGTCACTTTTAGTTGACTGCCTTTTGTAGGATAATAGGCATTTACTGAGCAAAATCTTTTGACTTTCCCTTGTTGGATAATCTTTGTTTTTTAGACTGACTATTCTCTGGAAGACATAGCAAATCCAAAACTGGTGAGGACCAACAGCAAAAAAGGCAAGTCAATACATTAATAGATAGTTTGGTTCCTAATTTACTTTTTTTTTATTGGCTTGATCTGAGCATTTGTAAAGTGAATTTTAAGCCCAAAGGATACAAGAGGGAGAAGTGTCTAACTGTAAGTGTAGCATACAGGTCCCTTCAGCATTCGGTATGGAGGATCATGAGCTTTGCTACTCTTGAGGTACTTTAAAACATGAGATAAGAGTTCCTGCCCTTTGGGTTTATCACTGAAAATGGTGAGAAGAGACAGATTTAACTGACTTGTCAGTGCTGTACAGTATAGCAGAAGAGCTAGGAGAGCCACTTGTATTTTCTCATAGGTCCCTCCTGCCTGTTGAAGTTTGTAAGGGAAATGCCATTTCTCCTCATACTCCAAAATATGCAACAAGAAGGACACTGCCACTGAAAAGTAATTCTATTTTGTCTGGGGCTTGAAGGGGTATTTAGTGCCTTCTAACCGTGCTGTGTATCACTGTGTCTGATGAACATGCATAGTTTGCTTTCAACTCTGATCCAGGTGAGTGGCCATCAGTAGCTTTCAGTAGGTAAATAGGCTTCAAACAAATGAGTTTGAAATGGTCTTTTGTGCTCTTCATAAAACCTTTTTCTTGTCTTTCTAATGTGTTTCTAGTTAAAGTAACTACAATTGTTGAATATGAAGATGCCAAGCATATTTCTGCAAAGAAAATATCTAAAAAGGTAAGTTTATTTTTAACAACCAATGTAAGGGCTTTATCAGTTGTGACCTGCTATGAGCCCTGCTAGATCCATGACTGGGCAGGCCAGTGGCTTGATGTTAGCTTGAAAAATCAATTGTTTTAAATTTGGTATATTTTAAGCAAGGCTAAACTGTGTAGCAAATTAATTTCATGATGAAATAAGATATCTGTACTTCTGGTAACTAATTCACACAGACTTGCAAGCACTGGCATAGTCTTTCTCTGTTCACTTGCCAGCAAGTGTTGATGGTTTGAGGAGCCATTTTCTTCTGATTTTAGGGGGGGAACCAATAAAACCCCAACCTTATCTTTGATTTAATACATGCTTTTATATATTTGAGTGACTTGTGCATTCTTTTCCACCTTGATCTCTAAAAGAGCACAAGTGTGTTAATTTTACCGCCTCAGTTTGTGTGATGTAGTGCCTCAGCCAGACATGGAAGTATGTAGCAAGATGACAACAAAGACTAAAAGATTACATGTGGAGTTACAGGCATTAATTATAAGAGAGCTTAAAGGTTGGAAGTGTGTGTATTAGAAAGGTGGCTGTTTGTACAGAACTTCAATATGATCTTTGGGCTTTATGGAACTTGACATTTTATGTGTATGTGGAACTTTATAAAAGGCAGTACTATGGGGCTTAACTTGCTTTGGTCCCCCCCCCCCGGGAATCCCTAAATATTTCCAGGGAACAATACTGTATAATTTTTGTCTTAAAATGACACTTCTTTTAACTGAAATCTTGTATATGCATTTTCAGATTTCTAAAACAAAGTTGCTGGCTTCACTGTCACCTAGTTTAAATGGCAAACTGAACCCTCTTTCTAGGTAAGACTAATCTTTGATGGCTTAACTCACCTGAACCTGTGAATGCTGAATAAAACTCTTTTCAAATGAAGTAGCTGAGATTTGAGCCCAAGAAGAATACATTTGATAAAGATGTTTTCCAAAACCTGAATTAGATGTGTTGTAGTGATACCCACCTGAACAAAAAAGTACCTCTAGCTGATGAAGGGATGTAGTGGTACCTCTTGCTCGCTGAGTGGTGCACAGTTCTGAATCTGTGTTATCAATGTTGATTTCCAAACAATACTGAATGGAAGCAAGTCTGTAAGGGAAACCTCCTTCTTGCTGTGTTAGGAGTAATGAATTGTTCTGTAATGGTTATTACACAGCTGAAATGGAGGTGTCATTAGTAGGAAAATGCACACATGCAAAAAAAAAGGTGCTAAAGCTGCTTACGGTCACAGTGGACCAAATTCAAGACTCACTATAGGATCTAATGAATTAAAAACTTTGTGGAGATCTGAATAAAATTTTTTTAGAAGCTCCTGCTACTCCTACAGCTCCAGTGTGCATGCTTATATGCACGGACACTTGATGCATTTCTCTGAAAACAATCTGAACTTAAGTTAAACAACATATTGGTGTTTAATGTGCCTAAAAGATTTTAATTGCTTTCTTGAACTGGGATTACAGAAGTTTTGGCTCAACAAAATTTAACCAGAAAAGGCTGCTTTGCCTGGGGAAGTCTACAACTTCTCAGTCTTTGAAGCTTGTTGTTGTTTGAGTACACTAATGCTGGGATAAACCCACATGCCGTTATGATATCTTCAGAATGTGTGTGGGGAAAGGGAGATTAGAGGAATGAGTGAAGTAAACTTCTGTCATCAAGATATCTGTGAACTGAGTCAAAATCCAAAACTGGAAAAATTTGTTCTCTGGATTCAGGTCAACCATACAGGGCAAATATCCTGAGAACTAATTAGAAAAATTTAATTCTTGCTGAAAAAGACTTCCCAAGGAAACTTTGCACACTCGGATAGAAAGTTGTGGATGATACCTTAGTTATGTTCAACTCGAGTACTGCAGCCCTCTCTTACCTACTAACATAAATGACTTTCTTTCCCCTATGGTGTTAGGTCCCATTATATCATGTCTAACTCAGGAGGGCTTCCTCACATGTATATATACTAGGCCTCTGTTGTAGAGCACTTTAGCATTCTCTAGTTCACCAGTTGTCTGCCTTCATCCTAGCTAAAATGCTACAGTGGAAGTAGATGAGGAAGTAAAAGAACTAAACAAAAGCAATGACTGATTCTATTTCTGTCTCTTTTTTTTGTTTTGTTGTTTGTGGTTTTTTTTATTAGGTCTCTTCACTCATCTGCAAGCGTGACTGAAGCTGTTAAGTCTCCTGCTTCTGATTGTAGCATCACAAATTTCAAAGCCACCCCAAAGGTATCTAAAAGGTAAGGTTTTTTTTGGCTTGTTCTTAATAAATAACTTTAAATACCAAGGCACTATACATTACATTAATATCAATCTAGACTTAATAGGTCTTCATGGTCTGCCACTAAATTTTTTTGGTAGTGGTTATGTGACCCAGTTGCACACCTCCTGTTCTGAGTGTGGGTGTTAACTTGCGTTCTTACAGAGGTACAGGATTTGATGATGTAACTAAGTCAATTAAAATAAAACAAAAAAAAAAACAACCGGATCTAGAATATAAATTCTATTTCCACTCACTGTTGTGTGAAGGTATAGTTTATGGTTTAAACTAATTCTCAGAACCCAAACTACGTAGAACCAATCTCAGATACTGCTACTTTTGCTGGACTATTAAACTGAATAGAAGATGTTACAGCACCAAAAGTTTTTTTTAATATGTATATATATTTTATTTTTATTTTAAGGGAAAGGGGAGAATGTGAAGAAAACCAGTGAGAAGAAAGAGTTGGTAAAGGATTTTCTGCCTTGATTGGAAGCTATATTCATGAGCTTTTTGACTCCATAGGATAGGGGAGTAGCTCATTAAAAATGCTGCTGTTGTGTTTTGTTGTTTTTTTTATTTTCTTTTTACAAAACAAATGAGCAATTGTTTAGCTAGGAACATGTTTCCCATCTTAAAATTCTACTAAACAAAAATTCCAAAGCCTACATTAGCGATATTATGTTGTTGTTTGGTTTCTTTTTTTGTGATGTTAAATGTGAAATGTTTTCCAAATCTGATTAAGCATGTAGGTACAGTGTGCTTATTTAAAAAAAAACCCAAACAAAAAACCCATCACAATCTTTGGCAGATGTGTGCAGATACCTTTGAAGTTCTGTTAAAAGAAATCCTGCCATAGCAGTGTAATCTGACTGGAACATAGGGTTCTGGTCAGAGGAGTGAACATGGTGTCTCCTTGAACCTTATTTTTATGAAACTGAAACATAATGAGGAATACTTTCTTCTTGTCCATGCTTTTCAACACACTATCCTAGCATAAGAGCACTGAACACTTCCTTTCATAACAACTCCATGAATCTCCTGTTAGCTCATATATTTTATATATGTGTACATGAAACACAGTAAGGTGCTATTTCAAAACAGATGTGAGTACTGTCAATCCTTTCAAGTAGGGTAAAACATAACACTATTTCAGAATTGCTTTAACTATGGGCCTGCTAGCTGGCCAAAATGCTGCTTGAATGGCAAGGATTAACAAATGTTCTTTAGCAAGGTGAAAGGCTGGGCATGCTTTCTAATGAAGGAAAAGGTATTTAAAGGAAAATGTCTTGCGCCAAGCATAAGGATAATAGTACAGCTCACTCTTAAATCTTCCACAGTCATACTGCTGGCTGAATGACCCTGAGTGCTTCTTAAAATGCAGTATTAAACAGGTCGCTGTCTAGGAGTACAGCTGTATTACTCTATTACTCTATTCTGGTTTCCCTGCACAACAAAAGAAGGCTTCTGTTTCTCTAGAGTTGGAAGCTGGATGCTGCTTCTAGCACTGATAAAGGACTGAAGGAACATAGCTTCCGCTATTCAGCCATGAAAGCATTAGCATTTGTCAGGCTTAGGCTCAGCATTTACAATGTTTACTCATTAAGAATGTCTCATTTAATCTAGTCATTATTTTAAAATTGCTGTTTAGAAATGAACTCATTTTTATGTCTCCTAGCACTTTGTTATTTAGGCTGCCTTTATAGCTGGTTCAACTTCCTATACTGATCTAGGTTACTAAAGCCAAGAGCTAGAGAATCACCACAGGGGTAAAGCCTTTGCTAATCTATTATGTGTGGAAGGCGAGAGATGTTGCCAATAATTGCCCTTGCAACAGCAGCTACTGGTATGTGACATAGCATTAGCAGCTGGTGTACTTCTCACTGTTCTTTACTGAAGTCTGTGAGAAGAATTTAGTACTCAGTCACCTACCAGTGGTCCTAGGTTCATAAATGAAAATAACATACTACTACACAAAGTTAATATGGAGGGTGGGGGGGGGGGGGATATATTCTTTTATCCTTATGGAAATGGACTTCTTAGAGGTCAGCAGACTGAGAACACTTATGTTGCTACTATCCATTGATAAATACAGCCTTTTATCTGTTAGTGCTCTCCACATCCTTAATATGCTCTAATAAAACAAATACAGAAAGCAAAACCATACTAAGATCAGAATACTGATGTAAAAATAAGGCAGACAGCATGTTCTTGTTCTAGGTATGTGTCCAAATCAGATCTGGCTTTGGACTTGTAATGCAGTGTAGTTTGAAGCCAAGATCTAACAATGGGAGTTAGAATACTTTTTTATATTCTTGTAACTGCAGCTCTTTCAGGAGGTAGTATTTGTAATAAGTCAACAGATTTTATATTTGCCTTGCATTTGCAACTGATACTTCTGGAAAAAATGAAAAGGTTTACAAGTTTCTAATAATTTAGAGGTATGAAAGGCTTTTTGTTTTAAGTTGGGACAGCAATTATTACACTTTTAAATTAAAATATAATGGTATAAATTGATTTTTTTTTTCCTAAAAAACCTATTATGGTTCCTTTTATGTTTCTGACATTATAAGGGATAACTTTGTTCTTGATGCATCTCATGGAAGGATGGTGATTTCTATTATCTGTCCACAATATTTGTGTGTACTGTAATAAAGTTAATGTACATTTTTGTGGAATAATCCTGTAAAGGTAAGATGCTTCTTTTCAATGTCTTTGAAATATTGTGCTAGTAACAGACAATCCTTACTTTCAGATGCATGTTTCTAAGTTTGATTTTCCTACAGGTGCTACTTATCATGGTACTTCAGAGGTATGAGACTTCCAAATAATAAGACTTTTTTTTGGGGGGGGTTGGTTTTTTTTCTTAGTTTTTGTGGCTTTGTTGTTTTTTTTCTTTTGTTTCTCCCCCCCCCCCAAGTTCTCAATTTTCTATGTCACTGAAGCAGCATTTGCTGAATTGCACTATGAAGCATTAAGCTCATGTTCAAACTAGTATTTACTTTAATCCATGTACCTGGTCATTAATTTCTGCATTGCTCCAATTTATGGACTTGAAGTTTTTTGAACTTGTTACCACAAAACTATTCTCTATACATAGAGATAGTCTTAGATGTGTTTTGTGTTCATAATTAATCGTAGCTTTTTATGTAAGGGGTTGTAACCAAGAGTTAAGCAAGCCAGACCCCTCTTTTCACAGAGGGGATCCATTGGCTTGTTGAGGCTGATTGACTGTGACCTGAAACCTTTGGTGAGGGATTTGTTTGGTATTGTCAGGTGGTTCGTTCTAAAAATACTTCTTAACTGGCTAGTAGGAGATTAAACTTACAGAGCAATGCAATGTTGGCCTTTTGCAGTGATAAGGACACTGTGCCAGACAAATACGTGGCAGAGGAAGCTACTAACTTCAGAGAGCTTGCAGCATCAACTACAAGCACTGTGTGAAAAAACACTAGTGTTTTAAAACATTATCCAAGTTCCCTTTCACACAATTCCTTGGTCAATAAAGAAAACAGGTTTGATCATTTGTACAAAACCCAAGGTACTCATACCTCTGTTGTCATTTTATTTGGATGCATGTAAGATGACAAGTTTCTGCAAGGAATTCTACTTTTAAGGATATGACTTTTAATGGTCTTATGCATTCAATACTACATGCAGTCAGGCCTTTCTAATGTTCTGTGTTATTACAAGTTTGTTAAATACTATCTTCACCTGATTAGAATTTATACAACCTGTAACCATTTGCATCGGGCAGAGCAGGTTATTCACTTTGCTGGCTTTGAAGCACTGCATATTCCACAGACCAAACAGCAGTAAAATAGCAAAAGCCAAGCCTCAACTCTGAAACAGGGTCCTTCTTATACAGGAAGAAGGTTTCCCAATGCTTGTCCAAACCCTGGCAGCACAGGCACTGTCTGCCACAGCCTGGGGCCTGTGCCTGACACCCTCCTGCGCTGTGTACTACTCACCGCTGGGATGAAAGCGGTCACCTGCCCCATCACAGGTCCTCATGGGCTGAGCTCAGCAGCGGCCGCTTCCAAGCAATTAAAGAAAAAGCACAATTAATTTGGTTCCACCAGGACAGAGTGCGTGTGCGTGTGGATCTGGGTCAGCCTGCCCAGCTCCTGTCAGGGCGTGAGGGCTTCTTCTAATCCATGTTGGTTTCCCTGTGCAATGAAATAAGTCTTTTGTTTCTCTAGTATATGTATGTGGTGTTTCACAGCACAGACTCAAGTTGATAAAGAGGCTCAAATCCTGCTTTATTACAACCAAGCCCTTTTAATCCCCCTGTTTGGTACTTTCCCAACCTGTGCATACCTACAGCATTCAATCTCATTGGCCCCTGTAAAACTCCAGGTAAATAGTCTAGTCACAATGCTGCTGACGCTTTCACAGCCCTCACATCCTCTGGCCTTCAAGCACCCCATCTCATTGCCCCAGGGCTTGTCAAAGCACCAAGGCCTCAGAGCTCCTTCATGAAAGTCTTATTGCCTTTACTCCCCACATATATAGGTCTATAACTTCTTAGTCTTTTAAGGTTGCTTTTATTCAAGCAGTTTTCAAATATAAGTTCTACATCCACTTGCTGTTTTGTGAAGGTATAGTTTAGAGCTTAAGCTAATTCTTAGAGCCCAAGCTTGATTGAAATGTCACTAATTTTGCTGTGTTTAAAAAATAAAAATTAGCCCTGAAAAAAATCCTGATAATTTAAGTTGACAATTGGTTCTTTGCATATTGAACTATTAAGGTTTTTCAGTTAATTACATTCACTATACCCTATGGAGTTTTGTTCTGGTATAAGTAATCAGCTGAAGTTGAGGGGTGAAGAACTTTACTCAAATGTGTCGTGAAACCAGCAAGTGGCTTAGTTTCACCTTGACCTGCTATAAATGTTAGAGGCTTGTTTCCATGGAGAGCATAAACTCTTCCTTCTAGATGGCTCTGGTGCCTTCTGCGGCATTAGCAAACTGCCGTTTTCTATCTCATATTTGCCAAGGCTCACAAAACTACAACCAAGTTTCAATTCCTGTTATAATCTCTCTATTATTCTCTTTCTCTTGCTGAGTAAGAACTATACTCCTGTTAATTCTCTATTGCAATTGAATGGTAATGGCCTTACCTTTAGTGCAGGGAAGTGAACTGTTTTGAATCAGAATGAAATTGAACGTAACTTTGGAGTACATAGTACCTCACCCTTCTGAAGATAAGGGTACCCGGGCTTTTGGATCAAGTAATGTGCGGCAGTAGAAGTCTATCTAGATGTAAGAAATATTAATCAGTTTACAGTCTTGCAGGTACTCGTAGACTTGAGTCTAGCTACTTTTAAGTTACAGGTCTGGAAGTTTTGTGTTTTATGACACGGACCTGCCTCTGTAGGTAAAGAATGTGGGAGTGCTTGCTTGCTGCTCACTTTAACAATAGTGACTTTTTTTTTCTGTCAAGTTTTGTTGGGTAGCTTGAACTAAAATGAATTTTTCCCCTTTAGAGTGAGCTGACTGTACTATGTGGAAAGGCAACAGCTAAACCAAGGTAATGGAAATGTCTGTAATTACAGAATACTCATGACAGCTCTTGCTTGCTGCCTCTGAAGTGTTTAGACAATGTCTATAATGTCTTAATAAAGCTGTATGCTACCCAATAAATGTTTTTATATAAGGCTTACAATGTGATGTGTATTACTAAATTCCTGTTATCTCTGAAGGATACAAAAGTAGAAGAAAATTCTTTTTCTAACAACTTTATAAAAGGCTTAGTTAACATCTAACCTTCGTTCACAGTAAAATGAACAGTAATAGGTTATTATGTAGGGAATAAGTTGTAACTCTCCTGTTCTAAATAGAACTCTGGTATTTTTACATAACTAAGTATAGACATCTAATGTCATTTGTCCATGCACATCGCAAGCAGAATATAGTGTTGGTTTACTACTCATCTTTAGTCTTCTCTGTACCAATTTCCTTGAATTGAACTCTGCAAATAAGCTGAAGCATGAGTTTCTAAGTTCTTGAATAGCACTTTAAGGCATGTAACCTGAGTTCTGTGGTAGCATATAAATCTGCCACAGGAATAGAACTTATTTATAGTATTGTGCTGTGACATGACAGTAATGTGCAAGATGACGGGTAGCAACCCAGAAATACTGTAATATGTGGTGTCACCCCAATTTTTCTAGTACTTAAGTACTTTTGAGTAACTTCTAGGAAAGGCTTTTAACATCTTTCCAGGTAAAGGTGACAGTCCAGCAGTCACTCTGCTGTGAGTACTCTCGTGTTTTCAGAACTTGAGGATGTACTTGGCTTTTATTCTGCCAGTGGTGATTTCAATTGGAAGTGTTCACTGTGGTAAAGGATGGTATGAGAGACTCCTACATCCTTTAAACTAAAACATTAGTTTAAGAATTAAATCTAGAATTTTTTTTCTTTTCTGCTTCCACCCTTGCTCCACATAAGGAAACAGAGGTCACAAGTGTCAAATAAGGGGGGGGGAGGGAAGGTTTCTGAGGTATGGAAAACAAAACTGGTAAAGAACATGAAGTTAAACCACTATTAAACCTAGATTAAAATTTTGCTCTCACTTGGTAATCAGAAAATACAGGAATCTCTTTCAGATTATACCTGAAGTTTGCAGAACATTCATTAATAGTTATTCTTAACTCAGTAGGCTAACCTGAATTAATATCCATTTTTCATTAAATTGATGAGCATCACATCAGTGTGGTATCAGGTTTTGATTATTGCAGGGAAATGGACATTTCAAGATGAATGATTTAACTGTTCAAGGTAACCAAAATGGCAGTGCAGTACTGAAACCTGCACTGTTTTGTATTTTGGAAGAGGTGTTGTGTTTGGCATGCTTTGAAGCCAGGCCAATGCACCTTGGTGGTAGATCTGCCTTGGTGTGTTGGTACAGTGGTGGTCATATTACAAAAATAGCTGCTAGTCCTTAATCCATCTTATTCTTGTTACAAGTATTTTCTGAATTGCAATTTAGAGATTACCCTTTTTTGTGACTAAAATACTGAGAGCTGGGAAAGTGCTTATGGGCCCTGGCACAAGGGGCAGGTTTACAGCATGTGTGCTGTAATGAAGCATGAGGACTTTTCAATCAGCTGAAGTAATTCTTCTAAATTGTCACCAAGCTAGGAAGCCTCTGAAACTCCATTTGGTCCTTTGAAATTTGGTAAGAGGCATACAAGCATACAATTAAATGTCCTACACCTCCTTTTGTATTTGCATCTGCCTAAGGCTGTAGTGGAAGTCTAATAACCAAAATATAATTTTTCTATGAAATTCTATTTAGAGGGCTGAGTAATTGTTGCATATGAACAGGTAAGTCTCTGGCTTTTTCTTTTTTCTTGTTTGTTTTTGTTTTGTTGCATTGTTTTGGGGGATTTTTTTATTTGTTTGTTTTAATCAACAGTAATCTTTCTTCCACTGATTACTGTGGAGGCAGTGTTCTCACAGGAGAATGGATAAACTCTGAACAATCCTGAAAGATACAGCAAGGCCATGAGAGGCCCGAAGAAGCTTAAGCAAGCAAGATAAGAAGAAGCTGGAATTCACCGAGTTAATGAGAACTGTGAACTGTTGGCAAGCTTTCGAGGTCAAGTTCTCACACCTGTGCTTAACCAATTATATGTTAGTCACTAAGGGTCTTCAAGACATGTATCCAATCATAATATGCCAAATCACTAGAAGTGCATGTAAGAAATAGTGTATAAGGAGTTAAGGCTTTGTAATAAATGGCAATCGCTTGATCACATTGATCATCTCTGCGTTGTCTGTGACTCCCGCGTCAACAGATTACTTCTAACTTCTTTGCATACTTATTTTTCAGAAGAACACAGTCTCCTCTTTTATGTGAGAAAGAACCACACCATTGTCAGTATCTTATGTGTAACTGTACTATGAACACCTTAGTAAATTAAATGCACTTCAGAGGACAGATGAGACTTTCTATGATAGTCACCTTAGGTCCATTTAAGTCACTGTGTATGCTAAAATAGGTATGTCACAAAATAAGTTAGACAACGCTTCCTGAGTCTGTTTTGGATTTTTTTTTTGGGGGGGGGGGGGAGGGGCTGGTGTCATCCGTTCTGTGTTGGCCTGTGTGTCGTCATCCCCCCCTTTTTGCTTCTTGAGGTCAATACTAAAGACAAAGTGTCAACTACAAAAAGGTTCTAACACAGCTCTAGTGATCACATTTTCTTCTTCCCCCCACATACAGAATGCTCTTTTGTTTATGCTATCACCTTTACCATAAGGACTTCAGTTGCAGCTGTTTATGACTGAGAACACTCAACTAGTGTTTGTTTGATTATTCATAGGAGAGTCGCATTGGCCCAGTTAAAGCACTGACAGCTAAGTTTAATGCTTAACCCCATCAGTAGACTACTGAAGCATTAGTAACTGTAGTAGTATATTGTAACTTAAATACTGAAATCAAGACAGTATAGACTGAATTCATGTCAAGTATTTCACACTACAACTTTGTAAAAGATACCCTCTTTGTGGAATAGAAGATCTATATAGTAAGGGCAACTTTGAAGAACTTGCCAGTCACTGAAAGATACTGCTGTGAGGAGCCTAAACTAATGTAATCTCGGGACTGAAAAGGAACTAGACTAATGCTGCATACGGTGATCAAATTTCCTTCCACCCCTCCAATTCAGCATGCTAGCCAAAAGGTTACCATTAATTCTTTCTCTATCCCACTGAAAAAAAAGGAATTTTAAAGTAAGGTGGTAAGCTCAGAGCACATACTCCATTTTCCAAGGAGGTAAATCCTGAAGGTCTGTTGTGGTTTAAGCCCAGCTGGTAACTCAGCACCCCGCAGCCCCTCACTCACTCCTCCCCTGCTCCTGTCGGGATGGGGAGGAGAATTGAAAGAATGTAAATCCCATAGGTTGAGATAACAGTCCAGTAACTGAAGTATAATACAAAACTACTACTACTAATAATGATGATAAGGGAAGTAACAAAGGGAGAGAACATAAAACTAAGAAGGGAATGGAATAAACCCAAATCAACACAAAGTGATGCACCACCTGCTGACCGATACCCAGCCCGACCCAAGCAGCAACCTGGGCCTTCTGGGTAAC